AGTAACAACCAAAATGAGTTTTAATTTGCATAACAACTCATCCCCAATCCTTCAAGTTTGGCTGCAAATTATTAGCTTTCCTTTGCACTCCAATATTGAGTTTACTTATGTCAATCTACCATTCCATTAAGGTCATGCATCATCTCCTTCAATCATGATGTAATTGTACAATTTATGCTTTGCATCTTCAAGACATGGTCCTAATTTAATAGGGGCTGCCAACACTTGTTGTAGAGCTTCCTTGGCTTTCCTTGTCCTTACCCTTGTCATAGGTCCTCCAAGTCTTTCAAGTGCTTCAAGCTCTTTTCTCTTTGTCATGTCCTCATCACTACCCCCCTCTTTAAGAGGATTTGTCCTTAAATAAGAAATTTCATCATTTGCATCAAAGAAAGTTAAATCAGACACATTAAAAGTAGCATTTATGTTGTACTCACAATAAGGTTTATCACTTGGAAAGGACCATCCCCCTTGGTTGGAGTTTAGACTTCCTTTGTTCAAGAAACCTTTCCTTCCTAATGTGTAACCAAACCCAATCACTAGGTTGGAACACCACCTTCTTTCTTCCTTGGTTAGCTTGCCTTACATAACTCTCATTCTTCTTTTTAGTCTAAGCATTCACTTGGTCATGCAATTTTTTCACATTTTCAACTTTAGCATGCACTTATTGATGATTAAATAGAAATTTTAGGCATAGGCATCAAATCAAGAGGAGTCAAGGGATTAAATCCATACACAATTTCAAATGGTGAACAGTTAGTTATGCTATGGACAACCTTATTATAAGCAAACTCAACATGAGGAGGCAAACATGCTTCTGAAGACTTAATATTTTTCTTTAATACAGTCCTATGCAATGTGCCTAAAGTCCTATTGACTACCTCAGTTTGACCATCAGTTTGTGGGTGAAAAGTAGTAGAAAATAACAATTTAGTGTCAATATTACCCCCCACAAAGTCCTCCAAAAGTGGCTAAGGAATTTTGCATCCCTATCACTTACAATGCTCTTAGGCAGCCCATGGAGCCTCGCTATTTCCTTAAAGAACAGGTCAACCACATGACAAGCATCATCTATCTTCTTGCAAGGTATGGAATGCACCATTCTAGAGAACATGTCAACAACAACAAATACAAAATCCTTTCCATTCTTTGTTGTAGGCAGCCCCAAAACAAAGTCCATAGAAATGTCAATTCAAAGATATTCAGGAATAGGCAAAGGTGTATACAATCCATGAGACTTAACCTTAAATTTAGCCTTTTTACAAACAATGCAGTGGTCACAAAATCTATGCATATCACACTTCATATGGGGCTAATAGAAATGTTCTTGCAAAATTTCCAAAGTCTTTTGAACCCCAAAATGACCCATCATCCCCCTTCATGTGATTCACCCACAAGCAGTTCTCTAATGGAACACTTAGGGACACATAATCTATTTTCTTTAAACAAGAATCCATATGCCGATAATAACCATTTTCAGACATCTTTTCACATGCAGCAAAAATTTCAACAAAGTCCACATCATTCACATACATGTCTTTCAAAGATTCAAGACCAAACAATTTAGTTTCAAGCACAGAAAGCAATGCATGTCTCCTAGAAAGTGCATCAACCACTACATTCAATTTCCCCTTTTTATGCTTAATGACATATGGAAATTGCTCTAGAAACTCTACTCACTTAACATGCCTCTTATTAAGACTCGTGATCACTATGGATGACAAACTTTTTGGGTAACAAGTAATGTTGTCAATTTTTTAAAGCTCTAATCAAAGCATACAATTCCTTATCATAAGTTGAATAGTTAAGGGCAGCCCCACCTAAATTTTCACTAAAATAAGCAATTGGATGTCCCTCTTGCAATAAAATAGCCCCAATACCCACATTTGATGCATCACACTCAATTTCAAATGATTTTGCAAAATAAGGCATACCAAGAATAGGTGCATTAGTTAACCTATGCTTAAGGGCATCAAAGGCCTCTTCTTGTTTCTCACCCATTTGAAATCCACATTCTTTTTAACAACTTCATTTAGAGGTGCAACCAAGGTACTAAAATCTTTAACAAATCTCATATAGAAACTTGCTAAACCATAAAATCCCTTTACCTCACTCACAGTTTTAGGTGTCGGCCATTCTCGGATGGTCTTAACCTTTTTCGCATCTACTTGTACTCCCTTAGAACTAACAACAAATCCCAGAAATACCACATGATCAGTACAAAAGATGCATTTTTCCATATTGGCATATAATTGTTCTTTCCTAAGCATATTCAAAACAAATTGCAAATGCTCAACATGCAAATCAAGACTAATGCCATAAGTAAGAATATCATCAAAGTACACCATAACAAATTTACTAATAAACTCCCTTAAAACATGGTTCATCAATGTCATGAAGGTACTAGGCACATTAGTTAAACCAAATGGTATAACCAAACACTCATACAAACCATATTTAGTTTTAAAGGCAATTTTCCATTCATCGCCTTCTCTAATCCTAATTTATCTACAGCCATTTTTCATATCAGTTTTAGAAAACACACATGCACCATATAGTTCATCAAAAAGATCATCTAACATAGGAATTAGATGCCTATACTTGATGGTGATGTTGTTTATAGCTCTACAATCAGAACACGTCCTCCATGATCCATCATTCCTGAGCACTAGTATGACAAGTACAACACACGGACTCATGCTATCTCTCACCCAACCCTTGCTTATGAGTTCAACCACTTTCTTTTCAATCTCCTTAGTCTTTTATGGGTTACTCCTATATGTTGCTCAATTCCCCTCAAAGGTGGCAAACCATCTAGTACACTTGTTGGAAAAACATCTTCAAAATCATGCAAAAGAGACTCAATACAAGAAGGCAACTCAAACTTGTCAAATTGGTTAGCATACAAAATCTGACTTTGAAAAAACAATAAGTAGAGGGGATGTCTTGTGTAAATCACCCTCCTTACCTCCCTTTCTCTTGCTAAACAAAGTTGTTTGTCCTCAAGTGTTTCACTCTTTTTCTTTTCTCTCTCCTCTCAAGTGTTTCACTCTTTCCCTCAATTGTTATCTTTTCTCTCATTTTGATTTGATCCTCACACACCTCTCTAGGAGTCAAAGGCTTGATAACCACTTTCTTATCCTGATACATAAAAGAGATTTTGTTAGTAAAGCCATCATGGATGGCTTTAGTGTCATACTACCACAGCTTCCCCAAAAGAATATGGTTGGCCTCCATTGGAACCACATCAAATAATACCTTATCTTGATATTTCCCAATGGAAAGAGACACCTCCACTTGCTGCCTCACTTGTACTTCTTCTCCTTCACTAAGCAATTGAAGCTTGTATGGCCTAGGATGGGGTTTAGTGTCCAAATTCAGTTTTGACACTAATCTTGAACTCAACACATTTGTCAAGTTCGTGATTCACAAATGTATTGTGAAAGTATTTATAGAGAAAAAAATATTGTTGCTCATGGGGAGCCAAAGTTCGACATTTGTTAAATGGAGGAGTCCTCCAATTTCATTTTGCATGAAGTTGGTTTAAATTTTATGTAGTTTTCTGTTTGTTTCTATTCATCAATATACACAAAAAAAAACTTTCATTGAAGAAAAATCTCTAAAAATGCTCTTGTGTAAAATAGGAGTTACTGTTTAATATACATGAGTTGATTAAATTATAATGTACACTAGTATTTTAGTATGCAAATTATTATATATATATACAAATAAATATTGTTATATATATATATATATAAGAATTTGAATTAATAATTATTTTTAAATAAATAAATTATATTATAAGATAACATTATTTTTATTTATTAATAATTTATTTTAAAGTTATTAAAATTTAGTTTATAAATAATTATAATAAATAAAACTGAACTAAATATGTAGTTAAAAGAATTTCTAAGAATTCTCTTATCAAAGCAAAATCTCTAAAAAGTTCACACATAAGGTATTTGTTCATGTTTAACATATAGTAGTTGATTTTTTAAAAAAGAATATCACTTTTTAAAAATATAAAATATAATTTGTACGTTAAAATATTTATTTATTATAAACTTTATTTCTAATATAATTATAGATTAAAATATTTAGTTATTATGAATTTAATATATATAAAATGAATATTGAACCCATAAAATGTATATATTAAAATAGTAGTTTATTATTTATTTATAATATATTTTAAATTTAATTTTATGCACTTACGTTGTTAACAATTTAAAAATATTGATTTTAATTTAAGATAATTATTATGAAAGTTAAACAATGACAATTTTTTTTTTGTTCGTCCCTAGAGTATCCACTGCCAATAGCAGTGACTAATCTCCTCGCTACATTTGAGGCACCTCAAAGGGTGGGATAGCTGGCCTCAAGATTTAACGTAGCTGCATACACAAGACAAGATTCGAACCCCTGACCTTGCTTAAGCGTGGATCAATTTATTACTGAAAAACAAGTAAAAACTATTTAAATTATTAATACTAGTAAAGAAAATAACTACTTAGTGAGTTAATAAGTGTTAAAAAAAAACACTTGTGAGTAGATAACCTTAAAAATTAGTGGGAGTGAGTAGTTATTTTTTTAATAAAAAACTGTGTTTTAATAAGAGAAAAAAGACTCTTGTGAGTAGGTAACCTTAAAAATTAGAGGAAATTAGAGGAAATTAGAGGGAGCAAGTAGTTATTATTATTATTTTTTTTTTAATGAAACGAATGGTTGTAAAATTTATTGAAACCAAATTATATAATGCTTAGTATAGATTAGAGTTAAAAGTGTCTAATTAAATATAATAAAAGCTTCTAAAATAAGTATTCTCTTTATATACATAATATATACGTATATAGATTTCCTTTTTATCCATTAGATATAGGTATAGATGATTAATATATAAATAAATTTTATATATTAAAAATACTTATTATGAATTTTATTTTAATTATAAAAAAAGTAGTAAAGTAGTAATAGACGAAGATGACGTTCTTCTACGAGAACCGGCTGAACCGGTGACCCAGGCGTTGAAAAACACGGATTGGGTTTCCTCTTCATGTAGCCTGTTGTGGTCTTGGGTTTTCTTCTTTCACAGCTCAATCTATTACTAGGTCAGTGTTGAGTGTTGGATCAATCTCATCATCTTTATCACTGGATCTCTCCTTTGGGTTCATCAACACGGTAAATTTCAACTTCCCTTCTTCTACTTCTTCTAATTTCAGTATCCTTAGTTCCAAACCCTTAATTAAAGGGAATCAAGTACGTGATTCTATGTAAAAATAGTATCAAACTGTTTAATTTTCTCGTCCTTTGTAGCTGTTTGAGGAAATATTGAATCCCGCACTTACTTAATTAAGCAAATTTACTGATTTGCATGTTCAGGAATTAAAATTGGTTTCAGAGTTCATGTTTTCCTGTTTGTGAAATGTCAAACTGAATAAGAAGCTTTTTTAATTTTTATCTTAGGCTGTCTTTTGACATGGGTGGATGGTTAGATTTATGAATTTTCTTTTATTATTGATTATTTATTATTTACATTTGGAGTCTGCCTCCATCTACTGAATGATAGCAACAATGGTAATTGAGTAAATCCCTAAATTGGTTATTGACTTTGCAAAACAAATAAAAGGGGCAGAAATGAAGTTTTTGCACCATCAGCAACTAATGGAGGGTTTTAAATGTCCTACCAAATGCAATTTTTATTTTTAAGGGCTAATTTAAGGTTTTGCTTAATATTAATAATTGTGCTAATCATCTGCTGTGGTTTATAAATGTTTAGGGACTAACAGTGTAAAGTGTAAATTTTTAATAGGTACATCATCTTCTTTAACATCAACCAGGGATTCACTCCAAAAATGCTACCTCTGCGTCCACAATCTCAGGTTGGAGGATTACAGACATCCCTGTCTCTTGTTTCGTCGGATCCTCGTCTTTCTCCTGATGAACCTAGATCAAACTCCGACAATCTCCATGAATCTCCGGCTGAAAGTGCAAGTTCTCAAGAAACTTGGCCTACAGCTGATGCAGCTGCAGTAAAGAAGATGGAGAATGGAAAAGCGGAGATTAATTGCCTTGATCAGAAAGTTATCCACCGGGTTTCTAGTGCAGACAAAGTTACTCTACAGGACATTGCAAGAGAGAACCTCGGTATGATTTGTGAAAAAATGCATCGTCTACCTGAGGAATATCTTGAAGAGCTGAAGAATGGACTTAGAGTTATCCTTGAGGGAGGGAATGGTTCGCAGCATAGAGATGAGTTTTTCATTTTGCAGAAGCTTGTTCAGAGTAGAACTGATTTAACAGCCAAGACACTTGTCAGAGCACATCGAGTGCAGCTCGAAATCCTTGTTGCGATAAATACCGGAATTCAGGGATTTTTGCATCCTAGCATCAGTCTGTCACAGACTTCCCTGATTGAGATCTTTGGCTATAAGAGATGCAGAAACATAGCGTGCCAAAACCAGCTTCCGGCGGAAGATTGCACCTGTGAAATATGCACCAACTCTAACGGTTTCTGCAATCTTTGCATGTGTGTGATCTGCAACAAGTTTGACTTTGAGGTGAATACATGTCGCTGGATTGGATGTGATTTGTGTTCTCATTGGACTCACACAGATTGTGCCATTCGTGAGCAACTTATTTGCATGGGCCCTTCTTTGAAGAGCGGAGCAGGACCAAGTGAGATGGTTTTCAGGTGTCAAGCATGCAATAGGACTTCAGAACTGTTGGGATGGGTTAAAGATGTCTTCCAGCACTGTGCACCGTCATGGGAAGGAGAGGCCTTACTGAGGGAACTTGATTACGTTAGTAGGATCTTTCATGGGAGTAAAGATCCCCGAGGAAGGAAGCTATTTTGGAAGTGTGATGATCTCAAGGAAAAGTTGAAAACTAAAAAATTGGATTCAAAGGCTGCTTGCAGGGCAATATTGATGTTTTTCCAAGGTACTATAAATCTAGTTTTTCTGCTTTTTTTCTTCTTCTATATATATAACAAGGCAATATCATGCTTTTAGCATTTTGTTTCCTTATTATTTACTGAACTCGGTAACATCTAAATTATGATAAGGCTGATTAAAAAATAAAGTGCACCAAAACCAGAGATAACAATGTCATATGTTTTCTTCGTTTGCATATTTTAGAATAATATCTGCACTGTCCAGTTTTCTCTTCATTGAACCCTGAAATCAAAACATATGGGAAGAAAAAGAAAATGGGTGAAAATGGCACGCAGTCATTAGAAAAGGTAGCATCATCAATAAAGTTAACGCTACCATTATAATTTGTTGCTTTCTTTTACTTTTTAAGGCTGAGGCTGTTGTTTGGGATGCATGGTTGTAAGTATAGCATTGTTTTCCTCTTGTTCTAACCAATACATATTCTAATTGAAGAGCTTGAGGTGGACTCTGCAAAAGGCCTGGAAAATGGAGAAAGTGGAAGGTTGATTGCTCCGCAAGATGCATGCAATAGAATTGCAGAAGTGGTGCAGGAGGCTATAAGAAAGATGGAAATGGTAGCTGATGAAAAGATGAGGATGTTCAAGAAGGCTCGCTTGTCTCTTGAAGCTTGCGATCGTGAACTAGCTGACAAGGCCAGGGAAGTGGCAGAACTCAAGATGGAGAGACAGAAAAAGAAGCTGCAGATAGAAGAGCTGGAGAAAATTGTGAGGCTCAAAAATGCAGAGGCTGATATGTTCCAATTGAAGGCTAATGAGGCTAAACGAGAGGCTGAGAGGCTTCAGAGGATTGCTCTTGCCAAACAAGATAAATCAGAAGAAGAATTTACCAGCAACTACTTGAAACAACGATTAAACGAAGCCGAGGCGGAGAAGCAGTATCTTTATGAGAAGATCAAATTGCAGGAGAGTTCTCGAGCTTCACAGAGCAGTAGTGGCGGTGACCCCTCTCAAATGCTCATGTATTCCAAAATCCATGATCTGCTGTACAGTGTTCCTTCCAAAGCTGACAGTCAGGGTAATGAGCGCCACCCTTTTCGGACAAATCCATGAGAGTCCGTTGTGTTTGTGATGCCAATCATTTTCCATGTTATGGCTAAGTAAGTCCCTTTGACTAATTTAGGATGAGCTTCTTTTATGGCAATGAATGTAGCCATCATCTTCATTAGTTTTATTTCCTCTTTTTTACAAGGAGATATTGGTAAAGGCTTAAATATGTTTGAAACTAGGTTTGTTCTAGGCATTGTTAATATGCTTTTTGTAAGGAATTGTTGACTGTTGCATATTTTGTGGCTACCGGTAAAGTTGACTAAGATGTTTGACAATGTGAGTGTGATTGCTTATATAATCTTTAATATTTGAGTCAGTGTCATTGGTGGCCGGCCATATATCACAAAGCTGTGATGGTAAGAGTATATCAAATGTGATACTATGACAATAGCCACATAGATCACAAAGCCGTGATGGTACGAGTATTTCATATATGATACTAAATATTTATAATTCCAGGCTTGATTTTAGACTTGTTAATTACAAGCCGAAATGTCATTAAATATTATAATATTTAAGCTATTAAGATAAATCCATTACTTTATGATATTTTTTTATCCATTTACTTTATGATATTTAAGCATTATATATAAAATTATATTCATATGATATTGTGGATAACTTGAACTTCACCAAAATAAGAAACTTCTTTCTTATGTAATAATTATTCGAAATGTAAATGAGGTTATTTTTTTTATTAGTTATAGTATTTATAATATTTTGTAAATATTTTTTAAAAAATTGTAATGATTTTTAAAATTATAATATTTGAATATTGTTGTAATTTTACGTAGTAATGTAAACATTAAAGAAATTTTTTGACATTTATATGAATGGGGGTATTTTTTATTTTATTTTATTTTATTTTTATAGAAAATATAACAAAAGGTCTGGACTTTTGTTGAAGGGTTGAAGAGATGTGCATATTCAGTGTTCCAACATTCATTGATGATTACTATTTCATGCAACTAAAAAATAAGGGAGTGATTCCATGATCCACGGGTGAACTAAATGGGGAGTTTGGTTTGTGATGGCGGATGTTGAAAGCTCCCAACGTTATCATATCAATGAAGGGAATTCACCTGAAAGAATCAAATGATCTAGTTAGTACTATTGTCTACGGTCAAGAGGTGAAGAATTAGTGAGAATATGTATCACATGATGTTGAATCCAAGGTTTTTATAGCTTTGTTAACATATCATTTAGATCAATGCAATTAATTATTTTTTAAATGGTTGAAGAAATTTTAGACAGTCATTAAGTGATTTAAGTAGTTGTTCATTATTTAACGCGTATTTAGTGATTCAAACATGTTTTTGCATACATAGACGTTTTGTTGAGTTTATCTCTAGCACTTTTAACCTTACAAGCAATATTATTAAACTTGGCTGGTCAGTTATTCAATTAAAAAATGAGTTTGATCTGTGTAACTTGAGTGACTCATTGTTAAATTCGGAAAAATATTTAATAACTTTGTGGGAGGAAAGTCTTCGTAACTTTCTTTTAAATTATAGATTAAGCATGACAATTAAATTCGTGTTAGTGAATATCTGTTTGACTCTAATTTGATTTCGATGAGAAAAATCTTTTTGTATTGAATGTAGGTTTTTTTCGACTTGAGAAAACGGATTTGAATATACAAGTCTTCACCTTGTACCCGTTACATTTTTTGTTCAAATAAAGAAATATATGTGTATATATATTAAAGTTAAGACTTTACTTTTTATAAATATTAAAATAAAATCTAATTATTTTAATAATTAAATAATTTAAATTATAAATTAATTATGTAACAAGTTTAGAATTATACATTTAACTAAAAGTATAATTTAATTCTTAATTTTTTTATTTGTAACTTCTTTCTTATTTATTATTTTGATATATTATTTACATTATAATAAAATTATTAATTTAAAATTAAATTCATTTAAAATGTATAAGTAAATTAAAATTATAAAATAAATATAATTAATTTTCTGTGAGTTTATTCAAACTCGATAAAATTTGATGGGAATGAATATAGATTTTAAATATATAAACTTGTCTCTTTAAAACTCAAACTCATCATGTCTTTTACAGGATAGAGACAAAGAGAGCAAAACTTGTTCCCTACCTATCCCATTACCATCCCTACATTGGATATATCTTTTACTTCATATCTTGCCACCCATCTTGAATTTTTATAATAGTAAAATGTATGATTGTTTAGGTTGTATAAAACTTTTATTGATTAGAAGGTTTTAATACTTCTGTTTCATCTTTAGCATGTGACATCGTTATGTCCCTTTTTTGTCATCTCCACCGTGTGCCATCTTCAAACTTGTCGTGTTGGACATTTGTTTTCTCCAATATCACCTTTGTGTTTGATGTTATTGTCAATGCTACAAGGTATAAGTCCAATCCTTTTTTCTTCTTCTCCAACTCCATTTGTTGCCAACACTTAATGCCTTTGTTTTAGCTTCAACATTGTTTTTCACTTCGATTGTGGGCTTACTCCATTCAATAAATCATACTCTATATTAAACTTTAACAATTCAATTATTGAATAATAAGTTCTTAATTCATAGATTAAATTTACAAATTTTAAAAAAATTGAGAACCATATGATACTCTGTTTTATAAATTTAATTTGAAAAATAACCATAAAAATATTTCATGCGTTAATTTAAATCTATATAATGAAATAGCATATGATTTTCAATTTTTAAAAAAAATTGCAAACTTAATCTATTCTATGAAAACTCTTAATTCAATGGTTAGATCATTAAAATTTAATATAGAACATAACTTTTTTGAGTGAAATAAGTTTAAAGTAAACATACTCTTGAAGTAAGTGGATCCCTCTTCTATAGGGATGTGTGTGTGATGGAGGAAGCCCATGGGCCAAGGGCCCAACTACTAGGGCTATGGCAAGGAGGATACATGAGGAGTGGGCCCAAGCCCAAGGAAAACCCATCTCTTTGTTTAGTTGGGCTTTGACTCAAGCCCAAGTAGATTAGGGTTAGTGTAGGATTGGGCCTGAGTGCCTTGTATTTCTTTTTGGGCCTTGTATTTCCGGCCATTAGAATAGGAATTTCATTTCATGGCCATTTAGATTTAGGGTTAATTTAGGTTAACATGTACACTTTCATTTGAATGTCATTAGTATGTCATTTGAAGGTGCATTTCGGCCATGTGCACACATGCACATGGTGTGACCGAAATGCAACTCAAATGGATACTAAATCACATCCAAATGAGTGCACATGGAGGGGGTGGCCGGTTGGCACCAAAATTTGAATTTTAGAATTCAAATTTTGGCGCCTAGAGTTAAGTAAACCATACCATGGTTCTACTTAACTCTAGGTAAACCCAACTTAAACCCTTAACCTAATTTCTCCTATAAATCTTCCTATGGCCGAGTATTGTAAACACTTTGGATATATTTGATGAGTTTTCTCTCTTTGAACTCACCTCCTCCGAAGTCATTACTCCTAGAATCTACCCTACTTGAGAGTTTCTCTTTGTAGAGCTAGGACCCCTCACTCTTCTTCGTTCTTAGCTTTATGCAAGCCTAGGTCACATTGAAGCTTCATTAGAGTCTTGTGCCTTGAAGTTCCTCCAAGGATTTCCGAGAAGCTTGAAGGTTCATGAGAATTCCAAGTGGAATCTCATCAAGAAACACCCCTCTGAAGAGGAAATCATCATGCCGTTAATCACGCTCTGATCCCACGGTCTTGGTTCATCCACCAGACTTTGGTTCCTGTCTCCTGAGAACTCAAGGATACAGAGGTATGAGTCTAAGCATCTTAAAATTCCGATTTTAAAACTAATTTTTGCACTAGTAGAAGCCTGTAGAGGCTTTGTGTTAAAGAATACTTAGGTAGTTGCTTGAAGAGGCAAGTCAAAGAATACTTAGGTTGAGTTAGAAGTGACTTGTGAAAAAATACTTGGTGAAATGCATTTAATGCAAGCAATTAATGCACCAATAGACACTTCTTTCCACAAGGAGAAAAAATTGAAGACGAATGAAGTAAACTTGTGAGAGACGCTCAAGGATTTGTAATGGTCAACTTCATTAAAATTACCTATATAAGGAAGGTTGAAAATTCAAAAAGAATGGACACATACTATAAAATTAAATTCATTCTTTTTGTGTATAAGCTTTGTACTTAATACTGTTATATCACATCTTGAAAGTAAGATGAACAACAGAATTATCTTACTCAGTTTTAACTTTATGTTATTGTGTTGAGTTTGGAGAAGCTTGTCTATAAAAAATACTTTTTTTGAGCCTAAAGAGACTTGTCTATAAAAGAATACTTGTTTGAGCTTGAAAAAGTTTGTCTATAAAATAATACTTTGTTGTGTGAAGTGTGAACACTAGTGAAAAAAAGACTTTTAAGATTGGTTATTTTTTTACTTTTAAGATCGGTTAAAGAATCGATCTTAAAAGAGAAAATCTTAAAAGCTTGACTTTTAAGATCGATTATTAATCAATCTTAAAAGTCCAGCTTTTAAGATTGGTTATGAAATAATCGATCTTAAAAGTATCAGTTTTTAAGAAGGACGGTGGTGACCAATGGAGGGTTGCTTTCGGCGAAACATTGTCAGAAACACGCGTTGAGGTTACATTCATGGAGTGAAGGAGACCGAGAGAGGGGGGCACATGTAAGGGAGAACGAACAAGGGGGATCGTTAAAGGCACAAGGGCCTACATTCACCGAGCAAGGAAGACCAAGTATGGGGAGCGCGCACGAGAGAAAACAATGAAAGAGAACGACGGAGGCATGAGGGGTTGCGTTCGCAAAGCAAGGGAGAATGATTAATGGGGAACAACAGAGGCACAAGGGGATGCATTCACGGAATAAGGGAGATTGCACGAGGGAGACTAACCGAAGTGGAGCGGCGGAGGCACAAGGGGATACATTTGTGAAGTGAAGGAAGGGCACGTGAGGGAGAATGACTGATGGGGGGAGATGGAGGCGCAAGGGCTTGTGTTTGCAGAGCAAGGTAGGTCAAACAAGGGAGGTGCATGCAAGGAAGAATGACCAAGGGTAAGCGTTTTATAAATAGTTACAGTACTTTTAAGATCGTTTAAATTTTAACCGATCTTAAAAATATTTTTAAGATCGGTTATTTTATGATCGATCTTAAAAGGTATGTCTGATACAACTTTTAAGACCGGGTATTAAAAGAACGGATATTGTATACCACTTTTAAGATCGATTCTTTTGTAACCGATCTTAAAATTTGTGTTAAACATACCTTTTCAGATCGATCATAAAATAACTGATCTTAAAAGTATTTTTAAGATCCGTTAAAATTTAACCGATCTTAAAAGTGTTCACATTATTTACAAAATTGTCACCGCACCACTATTAAGATCGATTACCTATTAAGCGATCTTAAAATTCCGATTTTAAAACTAATTTTTGCACTAGTAGAAGCCTGTAGAGGCTTTGTGTTAAAGAATACTTAGGTAGTTGCTTGAAGAGGCAAGTCAAAGAATACTTAGGTTGAGTTAGAAGTGACTTGTGAAAAAATACTTGTATCTTTGCAAAAGATTGTGGAACTTGATCGAGTTTAATCAAGAATTGGACATAGTCCCGGTGGTTGATATAGATCAGTATAAAAATATTTTGTGCTCTTCTGACTTAGTCTTTTGTCTACACACCTACAATTGTGCTACTACTTCATTGTTTTGAAAAAGTGTGAGCTTTTGATTGACACTATTCAACTCCCTTTTTAGTGTCTTTCTTTATCTATAGTTTGCCATCACAACTCAACTTTTGATAGGGTTTAGCATCTAACATTGCTAAAGGAAAAGATCCTAAAATGCGAAGTAGTGAAAGAATGTTAGGTCAAAATACAATCTCAGATCCCCATGGTCTTAAGTTTGTTGTTAACAAACATAGAGGTTTTGATCAATTGCATAAAGTTTTTCAAATGACCAAGACGAACCTTTCACTAAGTCACAATTTGCCTAGTAAGATGAATATTGTATAAGACGATGGCTTCATTAAGACATTTTTGTTAATTGATAACCACGTCGTAATGGCCATCAAACAAAACTAGGTTTCTAAAAAATTATGTAATACAAAGAACTAACATAGGTCATCTCTCAAGGACACAAGTTCATTATATTTTGTTTTTATCATGCAATTGGGTTAGGTTTAGGGGATTTTGTTTCAAACAGATTATAAACAAAAATATAGAAAAAAGAAGATAGAATCTAAACACAGAATTTCAATAATATCATATATCAGTTCAAGGTTTCAATTCCTACGATGTAATTTTCATTGTTCTCAACAAATACAAATTCTCAATCAACCTAATTCAATTTAAAATTAATCAATACAAAAATCTAAATTTAGATTATGAATTCCATTAAAACAAGAACTGCAATCACAAACTCAAGGTTCTAACAAAATTCAAGAACGATATTCGATTGAATTAGGAGATTTAGGTTATTTCAAATATGAAATTACATCTTCTCATTTCTATTTAGGGTTCAAAACAAAAATTCAATACCGAGAGAGGGGGGCACATGTAAGGGAGAACGAACAAGGGGGATCGTTAAAGGCACAAGGGCCTACATTCACCGAGCAAGGAAGACCAAGTATGGGGAGCGCGCACGAGAGAAAACAATGAAAGAGAACGACGGAGGCATGAGGGGTTGCGTTCGCAAAGCAAGGGAGAATGATTAATGGGGAACAACAGAGGCACAAGGGGATGCATTCACGGAATAAGGGAGATTGCACGAGGGAGACTAACCGAAGTGGAGCGGCGGAGGCACAAGGGGATACATTTGTGAAGTGAAGGAAGGGCACGTGAGGGAGAATGACTGATGGGGGGAGATGGAGGCGCAAGGGCTTGTGTTTGCAGAGCAAGGTAGGTCAAACAAGGGAGGTGCATGCAAGGAAGAATGACCAAGGGTAAGCGTTTTATAAATAGTTACAGTACTTTTAAGATCGTTTAAATTTTAACCGATCTTAAAAATATTTTTAAGATCGGTTATTTTATGATCGATCTTAAAAGGTATGTCTGATACAACTTTTAAGACCGGGTATTAAAAGAACGGATATTGTATACCACTTTTAAGATCGATTCTTTTGTAACCGATCTTAAAATTTGTGTTAAACATACCTTTTCAGATCGATCATAAAATAACTGATCTTAAAAGTATTTTTAAGATCCGTTAAAATTTAACCGATCTTAAAAGTGTTCACATTATTTACAAAATTGTCACCGCACCACTATTAAGATCGATTACCTATTAAGCGATCTTAAAATTCCGATTTTAAAACTAATTTTTGCACTAGTAGAAGCCTGTAGAGGCTTTGTGTTAAAGAATACTTAGGTAGTTGCTTGAAGAGGCAAGTCAAAGAATACTTAGGTTGAGTTAGAAGTGACTTGTGAAAAAATACTTGTATCTTTGCAAAAGATTGTGGAACTTGATCGAGTTTAATCAAGAATTGGACATAGTCCCGGTGGTTGATATAGATCAGTATAAAAATATTTTGTGCTCTTCTGACTTAGTCTTTTGTCTACACACCTACAATTGTGCTACTACTTCATTGTTTTGAAAAAGTGTGAGCTTTTGATTGACACTATTCAACTCCCTTTTTAGTGTCTTTCTTTATCTATAGTTTGCCATCACAACTCAACTTTTGATAGGGTTTAGCATCTAACATTGCTAAAGGAAAAGATCCTAAAATGCGAAGTAGTGAAAGAATGTTAGGTCAAAATACAATCTCAGATCCCCATGGTCTTAAGTTTGTTGTTAACAAACATAGAGGTTTTGATCAATTGCATAAAGTTTTTCAAATGACCAAGACGAACCTTTCACTAAGTCACAATTTGCCTAGTAAGATGAATATTGTATAAGACGATGGCTTCATTAAGACATTTTTGTTAATTGATAACCACGTCGTAATGGCCATCAAACAAAACTAGGTTTCTAAAAAATTATGTAATACAAAGAACTAACATAGGTCATCTCTCAAGGACACAAGTTCATTATATTTTGTTTTTATCATGCAATTGGGTTAGGTTTAGGGGATTTTGTTTCAAACAGATTATAAACAAAAATATAGAAAAAAGAAGATAGAATCTAAACACAGAATTTCAATAATATCATATATCAGTTCAAGGTTTCAATTCCTACGATGTAATTTTCATTGTTCTCAACAAATACAAATTCTCAATCAACCTAATTCAATTTAAAATTAATCAATACAAAAATCTAAATTTAGATTATGAATTCCATTAAAACAAGAACTGCAATCACAAACTCAAGGTTCTAACAAAATTCAAGAACGATATTCGATTGAATTAGGAGATTTAGGTTATTTCAAATATGAAATTACATCTTCTCATTTCTATTTAGGGTTCAAAACAAAAATTCAATATCGTGAAAAGTGAAATTATCTGCTTGAAGGTTCATGAGAATTCCAAGTGGAATCTCATCAGTGTGTGTGTTGATTTTTAAATTTTTTTTAAATTATTTGATACTCTATTTCATTAATTCAAATCAACTTATAAAATATTTTAATAATTATTCGTCAATTTGAATTGATGAAATAGAGTATCAAGAAATTTCCAAAATTTTTAAAACTTTGTAGACTTAATCTTTACATTAGAAATTTTACTTTTAACGGTCGAATCATTAAAACTTGATATAGAACATAAGTTAGTGAGTGAAATAAGTATAAGTACACTTACTCTTAGAACAAGTGGCAGCAACTATTTTACCCTTCTTGCATAGCCCCGCAATAAGATTAGTGTATGTAAAATTGTCAGGCAGAATATCATTTGTGACCATCTCATTAATAAGGGCAACTGCATCACATAAATTTCCCAATCTACATGTATAAGTGAGTATTGTGTTGAAGATAACATTGTCAACAGCATTAGGAATGCTTCGAAGTCTATACAAAAATCTCCGGGCTTCATTAATATGTCCACTGATGCAAAGTCCTTTCAATAGACCCCCATTCGTGAATTGACTTGGGAAGTGGCCTGAACTTTTCATTTTATCAAACATAGAAAATGCTTTGAGTGCATCACCAAAATTTCCATAACTATTTATAATGCAATCAAAAGTAACAGAATTTGGATTAAGACCCATCCGGCTCATGTGATCCATAACATACTTGGCCTCTTCAAGTCTCCTGCATCTACAGAAAGTGGCAACCAACACATTACATGTAAAGTGATCAGCCACATGACCACTACGATTCATAATTGCATAAGCATTTAATGCCTCTTTTAAGTATCCCATTTTGCAATAATTGTAGATTAAAGTTGAATACAAAATGCTATTTGGCACAAGTCCAGTCTTATACATCTTACACATAATCTCCTTCACATTATTTATCTTCCCCACCTTGAAAAATCCATTTATGAGCACTGAAAATGTAACAACATCAGGATTCACAGAAACTTTTAACATATCATCCAGCAACTTCACAGCTTCTTCAAGCATTCCATTCTTACACAACCCATCAATCATTCCTGTATAAATAATATGGCCAACTCTCACCCCATCCATTCTCATTCTCTCAAGAATTCTGGAAACCAGTCCAAACTCAGAATGCTTGGATAACCCATTTAAAAGAGCCCCATATGTCACTTCATTAGGTTTCAAACCATATGATACCATAACATCCATTAGTCTCAATGCCTCCCCAATGTTTCCTGTACAACAATGCCCAGCAATCAAAGTATTGTAAGTGATATTGTTGGGTAACAAATTAAATAATGACATCTCTTCAAAACCTTTTGCAGCAACTTCAATCTTCCCCTCCTTAACAAACCCATTAATAAGAGTATTATAAGTTACCTCATTAGGATACACCATATTTCTTCTCATCCTTTTCAACAATAAATAACCTTTTGCACTCCTGATTTCCCTGCACAAATTATCTATCAACACATTATATGTACAAACATCTGCCGCAATTCCCTTAGATGCCATGCATTCAATCAGCTCAGACGCTGTTTTGTACCTTCCTTTCTTGCAATACCAATTAAGCAAAGTATTGTAAGTGACCGTCGTTGGATAAACACCACTTTCTTCCATTTTCCTCAAGAGAATGCCAGCATTTTTAAACTTCCCTTGTTCACACAAAGCATTTAACATCATGTTGAATGTAGCAACATTAGGACAAATCCCCTTGGCAAGCATTCCTTTGAAAAAAGACCAAAACAGCTCAACTTTCTGCTCCTTCACAAGGGAACCTAATACCATGTTACACGTATATACAGACGGCTTCAGTCCCCGGAACCCCATCAAGTAGAAAGTCTGCACAGCATCTCCAACCATCCTGTCCCTCAAACAAACCCTAATCAGGAGGTCAAAAACAGCCGGGTTTGAGTTGCAAATGCGGTAAGTCTCCATCAAGGCACTAAAAACAGAGTTCAATCCAATGGGCAGTTGCAACAAATGCTTCAAAGTTGTTTTGGCAAAACTGTACATTCTAGCTCTAACAAGTATGTGGGTAGTAGTGCATATTATATAAGTAGCATTATTGAGCTCCAAATTGGGTTGCTTTATGACCCAATTGAGAAATCTCAAAGCTCAAAAAGAATGGACACATACTATAAAATTAAATTCATTCTTTTTGTGTATAAGCTTTGTACTTAATACTGTTATATCACATCTTGAAAGTAAGATGAACAACAGAATTATCTTACTCAGTTTTAACTTTATGTTATTGTGTTGAGTTTGGAGAAGCTTGTCTATAAAAAATACTTTTTTTGAGCCTAAAGAGACTTGTCTATAAAAGAATACTTGTTTGAGCTTGAAAAAGTTTGTCTATAAAATAATACTTTGTTGTGTGAAGTGTGAACACTAGTGAAAAAAAGACTTTTAAGATTGGTTATTTTTTTACTTTTAAGATCGGTTAAAGAATCGATCTTAAAAGAGAAAATCTTAAAAGCTTGACTTTTAAGATCGATTATTAATCAATCTTAAAAGTCCAGCTTTTAAGATTGGTTATGAAATAATCGATCTTAAAAGTATCAGTTTTTAAGAAGGACGGTGGTGACCAATGGAGGGTTGCTTTCGGCGAAACATTGTCAGAAACACGCGTTGAGGTTACATTCATGGAGTGAAGGAGACCGAGAGAGGGGGGCACATGTAAGGGAGAACGAACAAGGGGGATCGTTAAAGGCACAAGGGCCTACATTCACCGAGCAAGGAAGACCAAGTATGGGGAGCGCGCACGAGAGAAAACAATGAAAGAGAACGACGGAGGCATGAGGGGTTGCGTTCGCAAAGCAAGGGAGAATGATTAATGGGGAACAACAGAGGCACAAGGGGATGCATTCACGGAATAAGGGAGATTGCACGAGGGAGACTAACCGAAGTGGAGCGGCGGAGGCACAAGGGGATACATTTGTGAAGTGAAGGAAGGGCACGTGAGGGAGAATGACTGATGGGGGGAGATGGAGGCGCAAGGGCTTGTGTTTGCAGAGCAAGGTAGGTCAAACAAGGGAGGTGCATGCAAGGAAGAATGACCAAGGGTAAGCGTTTTATAAATAGTTACAGTACTTTTAAGATCGTTTAAATTTTAACCGATCTTAAAAATATTTTTAAGATCGGTTATTTTATGATCGATCTTAAAAGGTATGTCTGATACAACTTTTAAGACCGGGTATTAAAAGAACGGATATTGTATACCACTTTTAAGATCGATTCTTTTGTAACCGATCTTAAAATTTGTGTTAAACATACCTTTTCAGATCGATCATAAAATAACTGATCTTAAAAGTATTTTTAAGATCCGTTAAAATTTAACCGATCTTAAAAGTGTTCACATTATTTACAAAATTGTCACCGCACCACTATTAAGATCGATTACCTATTAAGCGATCTTAAAATTCCGATTTTAAAACTAATTTTTGCACTAGTAGAAGCCTGTAGAGGCTTTGTGTTAAAGAATACTTAGGTAGTTGCTTGAAGAGGCAAGTCAAAGAATACTTAGGTTGAGTTAGAAGTGACTTGTGAAAAAATACTTGTATCTTTGCAAAAGATTGTGGAACTTGATCGAGTTTAATCAAGAATTGGACATAGTCCCGGTGGTTGATATAGATCAGTATAAAAATATTTTGTGCTCTTCTGACTTAGTCTTTTGTCTACACACCTACAATTGTGCTACTACTTCATTGTTTTGAAAAAGTGTGAGCTTTTGATTGACACTATTCAACTCCCTTTTTAGTGTCTTTCTTTATCTATAGTTTGCCATCACAACTCAACTTTTGATAGGGTTTAGCATCTAACATTGCTAAAGGAAAAGATCCTAAAATGCGAAGTAGTGAAAGAATGTTAGGTCAAAATACAATCTCAGATCCCCATGGTCTTAAGTTTGTTGTTAACAAACATAGAGGTTTTGATCAATTGCATAAAGTTTTTCAAATGACCAAGACGAACCTTTCACTAAGTCACAATTTGCCTAGTAAGATGAATATTGTATAAGACGATGGCTTCATTAAGACATTTTTGTTAATTGATAACCACGTCGTAATGGCCATCAAACAAAACTAGGTTTCTAAAAAATTATGTAATACAAAGAACTAACATAGGTCATCTCTCAAGGACACAAGTTCATTATATTTTGTTTTTATCATGCAATTGGGTTAGGTTTAGGGGATTTTGTTTCAAACAGATTATAAACAAAAATATAGAAAAAAGAAGATAGAATCTAAACACAGAATTTCAATAATATCATATATCAGTTCAAGGTTTCAATTCCTACGATGTAATTTTCATTGTTCTCAACAAATACAAATTCTCAATCAACCTAATTCAATTTAAAATTAATCAATACAAAAATCTAAATTTAGATTATGAATTCCATTAAAACAAGAACTGCAATCACAAACTCAAGGTTCTAACAAAATTCAAGAACGATATTCGATTGAATTAGGAGATTTAGGTTATTTCAAATATGAAATTACATCTTCTCATTTCTATTTAGGGTTCAAAACAAAAATTCAATATCGTGAAAAGTGAAATTATCTTAAACAGAAAAGAAAAGAGGAAGAAAGAATTCGTTCGGTAAAAATTAGGAACTCAAATTTATCATAGTTCTTGAAACCCCAAACCAATTGATGGATTAGCCTTGCCTCATAATCATGTTGCTTCAGCCAATTCCAGTGTAGAAGAGAGAAATTTCGTGAGAGAGAGAGAGAGAGAGAAATTTCGTGAGAGATATATATATATATATATATGTATAGGAGGAATTCATTTACTCTATGAGTAAATCTACCTAAACTTACTTTGTTTAATAATTTATATTCTGCATCAAATTTCAGCGATTCAACTGTTGAATTTAAAGTTCTTAATGCATAGATCAAGTTTGCAAGTTTTTAAAAATTTAAAAATCATTTGACACTTTGTTTCATTAATTCAAATCAACATATAAAATGTTTTAATAATTATCCCTCAATTTGAATTAATGAAACGAAGTGTCAAATGGTTTTCAAGTCTTCTAAAATTTGATATAGAATATGAGTTATTGAATGAACTAAATATAGGTAGACTTACTCTTGGAGTAAATTGATCCCTCCTCATATGTGTGTGTGTGTATGAGGAAAAAAACATAAAGTCCTTTATAAGGTTACAACAATCCCTACACACATACACACAAATATCAGTATTGGACACATATCCTAAGCGTCGGTCATGCATCTTTACACACATCTGTATTAGAATAGCCTCCACGAAAACACCATCTCCTATAAGGTCAACCAATGGTACTCGCCCTTGAGCCTAAATCCTAACCTACTCTCATACCAAGTATGAACATAGTAGTCCAACATGTGAAAAAGCAAGAGTAAGATTGTGTAAAATGATTCAACATATAAGATATATATAGAGCAATTAGTTAACTATATTATCATCATCAACTTCAACTAAAGAAATAACAACTCAACTTCAAACAACATGGATAATCAACCCAACAAATTTATAAACAACTTGATCAACTTATAATACAACTTTACATCTCACTAAAATACTTAACAACATAACATACAACACAACAACTTTATGCATTATCACACATTTCAACTAGGAGATCTCTTGTAACATATGAGTAGTTTAAGTAACTTAACCCTACCGAACCAACTCCTCAAGTAAACTTTCTTTTCTAGGCCTAAACAACTCAAGTATAGCTTAAAAGTCGATAAAAACTCAGAAAAGGTTTCTCAAATATGTAACTTAAACGAGGAAAGTCCAATATCACCGACAAGTATAGTACAAATTAGGTATGTGCCCACCACAACATTGACAAGCATTAACCAAGTCTCAATATGAAATTAGCTCATCGCCTATCCTCTTTATACCACACACCCTTTCACACTCGATTAGAGATTTTGTCTCCTGACTATGTACCTTACTATATTGGTCACTTCATAAGTAATATGGTTCGACCTTGCTCCCATATTGTATTAACTAAGAATCTAAAATAGACAACTTTTATAAAGCAACTCACCGCTTCTAGAGTCAACTCTCTGTCTAAATGGTTTTAATTTTTTTGGACTCGTAGGGCACCACAACATAGATCCTCGCAATGGAATTTTTCAACAAATAAAATAACTCATTCTCCTTTATACCTAAGTTCAATTTTACAACTCAACAACATGCATCATACATTTATCAACACAACATATATCATGTTAGTTACAACTTAAACAATTGCATCCCATTCAAAATTCTTCACTAACAATATTCGAAAACATTTTCAACTCAACATTTTGCATCTCATATTACAACATAATACATTCAACATAAAACAATATATTCCAACATACTACATATAATGGTTAACTATCAACATGCTTGTATCAAGACAACTTAAATACATAGAATAACATATCATGTTCATAATAAGGGTTTGTTAGGCATAAAGTAGTCTTATTGGGTGACCAAACTCCCCTAGAGCTTGTCGCTAGACGTGCTATTCTCACTTAGCGACAAAAACTCCTTGTGACTCATCTCATTGGACAGGCTCTGGCTCATTGGACGACCATAACTTGTTAGGCAAGCTTGACCCCTTATGGGTCCTCTCACCGAGCAGCCATAGCTTGCTCAGCAAGTAGAACACGTTGTGGGTTCACTTGTCAAGCATGTTATGAATTGCTAGTGAGCTTTACAATAGGTCCACTCAAATATTCATTTTCTAATTGAGCGATAGTCTCATTGCTAAGCAAAAAATATTATTTTGGGTAGTTATTCTTTATCTATGCATTCATGTTGGCGAGTTGCACATCTTGTTGGGAAAGAAAACAATTCCACCATTGAACTTACCTTCTCTATACTTTTTCGAATACCACACATAGCGACAAACACATGCAAACCATGAAATATAATACTTTAACTTCTAGCAACTCAAAAAACTACTAGAATAATAATAATCAACAATAAACAAGCTCAAAATCATCAACCCCTCTTCAACCTTTGAAAACTCCAAAACTCAACAAGGTGAAAACCTTCTATTCTTAACATAAATGCTATCAATGGGTCAACGTTACAATCACTACAAGAAAAATGTAAATTTTCGACGGAAAATTTC